TTGGTTAGTTCAAATGATTATGAATCAAAATTTCAATACGTTTAACTTATAAGTGAGATTATTATTTGCTTTTCTATGCATTGTTTATCATTTTAGAATCTATCTAATTCATTTATTTTTATTTCTTTAGATTGAGTAATTTTCAAGGTTTTTTTTTTTTTGCTTCCACAAAATCTAAAGTGGCTTAATTGATGGTTCATCTGTACGTGTGTCACACCTTTGAAATTATCGGTAAATAATTGGTTGTGTTGCATATCTCAGAGGATGTCAATACAATCCTTTATTACTTCTTAAAATTGCTTATTTGATGTGAAACTATCACACCTTATCTGAAATCAACTTGTCTTTTCTTAAGCCAACCTTATAAATTGATGCACTCTACTTTATTGCAAATGAAATTTTATGGAGACACCAAAAATCATTTGAAAACATGCTATAACACAAAAGTGTTGGGCTCATGAACGAATACGTCTTGTTAATTTTAGAATATCTATTTTATCTTTAATAAAATGACTTATAATCATAAAAGTATCTATCACTTATTTTAAATATTTTTCAAAAATTTTTATTTTTTTAAAAACTTTGTGTCAAATCAGACTAACTCATCATACTCTATAAAATAGGACTGAATGAGTAAATAAGAGGAGGCTAACCCCCTTATAATTGGCACCTCAATTTGGACAATGTTCATATTAGACACTTCATGTACAATTCATCTGTGCCATTTTGACACTTTTTACTGACATGTCAAAATGAGTGTGATATATTCAACAATAATGCGTGAAATACTTTATTTAGCCTTTTTAGATTTAATTTTCTCCATTTCTCAAGTCACCACATCTCATCAATTTTTCAAGTTTACACTCCTCCACTGGAGGTTACATTTTTTATTCAAAACTATTTTCATGCCATTTTTTCTTCATTATATTGCTTTTCTAAATTTATAATTGTCTTTTTTTACCTTTTTAGTCAAAAAAAAATGAACACCAACAACCATATTTCATATTTCTTTCTCTTTTGCTTTCTCCCTCTCCTTTCTTTTCTTACCAACAAAAACACTAAAAAGAAAGAAAATGACAAATATAAAAAATAAATAAAAAGCATAATTATTTAAAAATTCATAAAAGATACTTTTTGAGATTAGTGAAAAAAGACGATGTTCAATCAATGTACCATTACTGTACTAGAAAAATAGATATTAACACTCCTATTTTAGATTTTTTTCTTCTATTTCTTGCTCCCTCCTCCGATCATCCCCTCTTTATTTTCCTCTCAAAATAACACCTAAATAAAAAGATAAAAGATATCTAAAATAATTTTAAAAAGCAGATTAAAAAATAAAATAAAAAATTGTTGAGTGTAGTAAGGAAGAGAATTACCATTAGAGCGTAGGTGGGGGAGGGGATTATATTGATTTTTTAGAATAACATTTTTATTTTATTTACTAATTACATTTTTTAAACCTTCAATAACATATGTAATTATTTAATTGTCACGTCATTAACAAATGACCATCTCTGATCCACACCAAATTATAAATTTAGTGTCTTAAAGCTCCAATTGTATCAATTTTTAGACCAAATTTAGTGTATTAAGAGTGTTATACCAAGTGCAACATCATTCATTAAATATTTTAATATTATTTTATCATACAAACTTTTAATTAAATATTGCATAAGTTATATATTCTAATTAAATCTCCCGTATATTTAACTATTCTTATGAAATAATTTTATAAAATTAATTTTAGATATAAAATTTAGCTTTTTCAAAATTAATTTTTCTATATATGACTTTTTAAAAAGAAATAAATTTATGTTAATTCTACTATAAATTATAATTGCTTATAACTATAATTAACCATCACAAAAATTAAAAACACGAACATTTAATTTTTTAAACACATAATACAATGTACTTAAAAATAATCGAGAATAATATATAAAGTAATAATTGATACTCGCTTCGTCCGGTATTATTTGTCATGTTGCGCCTTTCGAAAATTAATTTGACTAATTCTCAAAGTTAAATTAGATCATATTAATTCGATATTTTAAACAAAAAAATAAAAAGTTCTAAAACTATATGAAAAGTACAATAAATTGAAATTTTTCGCATATTAATACGATGAATAAATACATCTTAAAATGTTAATCAAATTTTATAATTTGACTCTAAAAATAAAAACCACGACAAATAATACCAGACGGAGCGAGTATTCACCATGAATTATATATAGTGAATTCTTTAGAAAGAATTTGTTTTATGAAATAAAAAAATATAAATGAAATAAAAAATAATAATATAATAATAAAGAGACAGAGAATATTTCTTTTTGATGTAAAATTTAATGCAATAAATTGGAATTGATTACATCAAACACCAAATTTGAATTGAAGATACCCTTACTTTCTCCTTCACTTTTTTTTTATTATCAAAAAAATATCAAAATAATACAGATCTTAAATAAGATATCTAAATTAACATAAACAATTAAAATGCTCAAATAAAATTTGATGTGAATTTCAAAACGCCACCGATAAATTTTACCATAACAAAAATGTAACCAAATTTCATTAAAAATTTTAAATCTCTTAAACATAAAAAAAAAAAAATCTATTTGAAATATTTATTCTATTATAATATAATTAAAATTTAATCAATATGAAATCGAAGAAAAATCCAAAAACCCAAAGGTATTGAGGCGCATGCAAAAAGCCTCATCATGATGTCTTGTGTGACCCACAGCCTTTTTCAGCCTTACAATTAATTACTCTTTGCCTTTATTTAATTCACCTATTAATATGCACTACTTTTTAGTATCACATATTTTCTGTTTTTTTTCTTAAAAATTCATTTGGTTGTCAGAACTTTAAGTACACGCGTTACCCTTGTTTTGGAACCTCTTTTCATAAAAAATTATCTTCATATTTTATGATAAAAAGAGAAATAAACAAAGGATATTACTGTTTAGTAGAAAAAAGGACAACATAAATTCTTTACCCGTATTATTTCATGTGAGTTAATTCGATTTGTCAAAAGATTTAAGAATTTTTTTTAAAATTTATAATATAAAATAAGTGATAGACATTAATATGATTATAAATTAAATAAATATTTTAAAATTAAATTATTAAGTATTTAATATAAAAATATATTATTTTCTTGATAGATCAGTCTTTGTATTTATCAGAAAGTAAAAAGAATTTTTTGAGTATATTGTATATATTAGGTAAAATGTATAAGTATCTTCAATCTATGACTAAAATCTCAGACACACATTTATATTATATCAAGGTCATATTATCTCCTAAACTTATTTTATAAATAATTTATAACTCCTTTTCGACATACATGACGCTAGCTTAAAAAAAAATATCAACACAAGCTGACTCATAAGATAATGTCACGTAAGTTAAAAATAATAAAAAAATATTTATAAAATAAATTTAAAAAAATAATAAAATCTTAGTATAATATAAATATGTCTTTAATATTTTGAAAATAAATTGGGAAATACTTCATAAATTTTCCTTATATATCTCAAAGGAAATAACATATTCAAAGTATTATTTTGCTCATCTATTTTTACTTGACAGTGACATAAATATAAGTATTATTTGTTATAGTTTGGCCAAATTTTATTTTATATTATATTAGATATTTTTATAATAATAAAAAATCTACACAAACAACATTACATTAGATTAAAATTTTGTGGCTTTCAATTGGTTTATTTTACTTTTTGTTTTTCGTTTGCTTAAAAAGAAGCGGTCTCTTTTTTTGTTTTCAATAATTAGATAATTCAACTTTACACGTACTATATTTAATAGTCCATCATAACATTAAAAGACAAAGACATTATAATATATTCTATTACATTTTAAATTTAAATCACAAAATTAAAGAATTCTTTTTATTTTTCTTAAATTTCAATTCAATTAAAATCAGACAAAATAAATTAAAATATAAGAAGTACTTTATATTATAATTTATGTGATATATTTATTTTTTTAGTTGGTCCCAATTTTTGTAACACATATTGTTGATTTTTTAAAAAAGAGAAGTAAAATTTAAAAATCATCTGAATTTAACATAAATTATTAGTTTTGTCTTTGAATTATTGACTACCTCAAAGACATGTCTCTACTTGATTAACTAAACTAAATACGCCTTCGTTCTAGCTCATGATATAGTAAATTGTCTCAAATTCTTATAGGACCATGAAACTCTTAATAAAAAATCTAAAAAAAATATTAAAAATATCCCTCGGCTTGACGAGAATCCAGAAGCATAATTCACTTATGTTAACAAGATCGGAATGTTTTTAATTTTAATTAAACAAGTAAACAATATTTTTTAAAATAATCAATAATTCAATAATAATAATATAATAATAATTTACATAAAAGTTAATAATGTCTCCACTACTTTTCTCCTTAATTGATTCAATTTCTAATTCAAATCTTTTTAATCAAATCATAAACATCCTTAACCATCCAAATGCTTAAATAATGTTTAAAATTATATACTCTTCTCTTTATATATTGGTTCAATTTCTAATTTAAATCTTCTTAATCTAATCATAACCACCCTTAACATTATACATTTTAAGCCTAATATATAAGTGGGTATTTACAAGTAGACACATAAACTTATATAAAATTAAAAAAAATAAAAATATTCATCCTCTACGCGATGTTTTACATGTTTTATGTCATGTAGGACACGTATGTATACATGTTCAATTTTATACAAGTTAAACTGTTTACTTGTGCACACTCAAAATTGAAAAATATAATTATTTGATAAAACCAAGTTAAAGATCATATTTATATATTATACCTAATTTTTAAGATATTTTTTTTAATTTTTTTTTATATCTAATCAGATTAATAATTGGAAGATGGTGAATCATTTTGAAGGGGGCATAGGGAGGTCTCTATCAGAGATATTCCATATCTGGTGCAGCTCTGCAGTCAGCAAAATGTCACACAGAGAGTACAGTAGTAGAGCACAGTAGAGTAGGGAGAAGTTGCCTCAAAAGAGGAAAAGAAAAGGTAACGAACCACACATTTGACAGCTCAAAACCACTTTACCAATCCAAACAAAAAATCATCACATTATCCCTCCCTTCTCTCCTTTCTCTATTACTCTCATTTTCCCCAAGTTTCAGGTACCTTTTTCCTAACATAATCCGCCCATAGTGTTCATCATTCAAGATCTGTCCTTTTGAGGAGACTTCATTCCTTACTATGGTCTTCTTTTTTTGATGATTTCTTATGTGAGATGTTGAAAACTGGAAAGAAGTGATAAAGATAGGAGGTTTGGTTTCTGGGGTTTGTTTATTTTGCTTTACAAGGGTTAAAGATTGGATCTTTTTTAGTTTTGGTAGATACCCATGTCTAATCTTGTTTCAGAATTCAAAAGGTTGGTACTTTACTGTTTTGCAAGTGGATGACAGAGGAGATGAAGGTTACAAGTCTTTATAGTATTGGGGGTAGGAAAAAAAGTGATCTTTATGAAATAATGGTGTATTTAGTTGATATTCGTAATGGTTAATAATGTATGTTTAGTTGATGTTGGTAATTGTGAAATTTGCTATGTTTAGTTCTTAGGAGCTCTGAAATCGAAAGATATATGTTTTCTAGTGCTTGAGGCTGAGGGATAAACGCCGTTTCGTTTTGGTAATTGGTTGTTTACATATCAAGAATCTTGATTTTAGAACCTCCCCTTTTTAATCTTACCAAGAAAATGGAAATGTTGTGGTTTTGTTTATAGAAAGACAAGTAGCTGAAAGTGATAGTGTTTGAATTGTTGTTGAAGACTTGGGAAGGCTGTGTAAACAAAAGGGGTGTTTGGATTGTAAGGAATCATAATGTCAATGTCCTGCAAGGATGGTAAATCAATTGAAGATAACGGAAAGTATGTCCGTTATACACCTGAGCAGGTTGAAGCTCTTGAAAGGCTATATCATGAGTGTCCAAAGCCCAGTTCAATGCGTCGCCAGCAGCTTATTCGTGAATGCCCGATTCTATCTCATATAGAGCCTAGGCAAATCAAAGTTTGGTTTCAGAATAGAAGGTATTGCCTAGCTACTGTATTTCCTTTTTTTAATAACTACTTTGATTTGTTGCACTTGAGCTGAGGATTTTTCGGAAACAGCCTCTCTACCTCTGCGAGGTAGGGGTAAGGACTTGTGGGATGTTGTTAGTCTAAAGGATTCATTTTTAGCGACCCCAATTAATTTGAAGTATAATTGATTGTTTCTTTGAGTTGTATAGATGTAGGGAAAAACAGAGGAAAGAGTCATCAAGGCTTCAGGGTGTGAATAGGAAGCTGTCAGCAATGAACAAGCTATTAATGGAAGAGAATGATAGATTGCAGAAGCAAGTTTCTCAACTGGTGTATGAAAATGGCTACTTTCGCAAGCAAACTCAAACTGTAAGATTTTCTTTCCATCATTGAAGTGAAAATTCTTCTTTCATTACATCAAACAACTATTGTTTTTAGGTAACAGAGGATTAAAGTGTGATTCTTGTTTTGCAGACGAAGCTTGCTTCGAAAGACACCAGCTGTGAATCAGTGGTAACGAGTGGTCAACACCACTTGACACCTCAGCATCCTCCAAGAGATGCTAGTCCTGCAGGGTCAGTGGGATTATGGTTGTTGGGTCCTTTTCTTATCTTGTTTTTGGTGTTTGTGAGTGGCTTGTGGCAATTTTTTCAACTTTTTGTGTTTTTTCCAGACTTTTGTCCATTGCAGAAGAGACTTTAACAGAGTTTCTTTCAAAGGCTACTGGAACTGCTGTTGAGTGGGTCCAAATGCCTGGAATGAAGGTATATCATAGATAAATTAATGGACAAATAAATTTAGTTATTCCTTACAGCCAAGTGTTGTGTTTTTTCGGGGTTAAAGGGTAGTTGGGATGTGAAGGAAGTGCTGTGTATTGGTTATGTTCTCCTTCTTTAAGACTCACATGATTAAAAAATTGTTACAGCTAATCTTTTCCAATTAAAATTTTGTTGAAATCCGCCAACTGTAATATCCTAGCATTGAGTGCATCAAATGGGATGCTTCTTTTTCTTTATTAGTATCTTCAATGAATTATGGAGCAATAAGAATTCCCTTGGCTAGCATTATCAAGGACACAGTTTTCCAAACCATAATCTTGACATATAATCTCTCTATTTCAATCTCTGTGGCATATTTCGACTGCACAAGGAGTTTATGAGAGGATGAATTTTTGAATTTGGTCCATAATTTTTGTGTGGTATAAAATTGTCATTACATTTAAGGGTAAAATGTGAAGTTTGAGTTAAATTGTTTCCAAATATAGAATATTGCGATCTTTATGTAACGAACTAAAAAAGAAATGTTGTTGCATAAATTGGAACCGAGGGAGTATAAATTTATATTGTGTTATAAATCATATGGTTTGAAATGTATAGTCCGTAACTATGTCTTTCATGCGGTTGTTATTCAACCTGTAGACCTCTCTGCTCGTGAGGACTATATTAGTGCTAAGCTACCTTTTCTCTCACGTTAATTGTAGCTATATCACTAGTATGTTTTTCCATGCGGGAGTAACTGTTCCTAATCATTGCTTATGCTATTATGTCTAGCCTGGTCCGGATTCCATTGGAATCATTGCTATTTCTCATGGTTGCACTGGCATGGCAGCAAGAGCTTGTGGCCTGGTTGGTTTAGATCCAACGAGGGTAAGTTGGTTATCTATTCTGAGGTCTTCTTTGGGATTATAATTTGAAAATTAATTGGCTGAGCTCCCTCTAGGTTGCTGAGATCCTTAAGGATCGCCCTTCCTGGTATCGTGACTGTCGGGCTGTTGAAGTTCTAAACATGCTGCCCACTGCCAATGGTGGAACCATTGAACTTCTTTACATGCAGGTAGGTCATTAGTATCCCAAATTTTCACTACTTGCACCTTCAGTCCTTTTATGCTTGCTTGATAATCTTATGGAAACTTCTTACTGTTTAGCTTTATGCTCCAACAACTTTGGCGCCTCCTCGTGACTTCTGGCTGATACGCTATACTACTGTTACGGATGATGGTAGCTTTGTGGTATGAGATATGTTTTTCACTGTTGGTTTCTTAAATCAAGAGATTTATTTTCAGCCATCCGCAGAAGATATACAGTATCACTTTCATGATGTTTATGAGTATCACACACAATGTGACTGCTGCAATATTGTTTTTCCCCTTAAAATGCATGAGTATGTCTCTAATATAATTCAAACAGTAACCTGTTTGGTGGACATATTCATTTTTCTTGATGTGACCTGCAACTAGATTTTGGTATTCCTCATCAATCAATATTTCATTTAATAAATGCACAGGTTTGTGAGAGGTCATTAGGAAATACTCAAAATGGTCCAAGTATGCCGCAAGTTCAGAATTTTGTGAGAGCAGAAATGCTGCCTAGCGGATACCTGATTCGGCCTTGTGAGGGAGGCGGCTCTATTGTCCATATTGTAGATCATATGAATTTAGAGGTAAAGGTGTCATCTATTATGTTTGAAAAAATATCACTTTCAGTAGCTTACGTATGCCATGTTACAGTTTATGTATCATTATTATTATTGCCAGGCATGGAGTGTGCCAGAAGTGTTGCGTCCACTGTATGAGTCATCTGCAGTGCTTGCTCAGAAGACAACAATGGCAGTAAGAACTTCTACCGAATCTGATGCAACATGCATGTAAGACGAGAACACTATTTGTACTTCAGATGCTCGATATCATTGTGTTCCTTTCCATGCAGGCACTACGCCAACTGAGGCAGTTAACCTTGGAAGTTTCACAGCCTAATGTCACTAACTGGGGCAGGAGACCAGCAGCTCTACGGGCATTAAGCAAGAGGTTGAACAGGTCTGAAACTAGCTTTTGATGAATGTTGTTTTTGTTTTGTTTGAGTTACTCACTGTTCACTATTCATTACACTATTTTGGCAGAGGGTTCAATGAGGCTCTCAATGGTTTCTCCAGTGAAGGCTGGTCTATGCTGGATAATGATGGAATGGATGATGTCACCATCCTTGTTAACTCCTCTCCCGACAAATTGATGGGTTTAAACCTTTCTTTTTCTGATGGATTTACTTCTCTAAGCAATGCAGTTTTGTGTGCAAAAGCATCTATGCTTCTACAGGTCAGCTGAATCAGTATGTTTATGCTAAAATTATACAATTTACAGGCTTTCTTGTTTTTGATAAAATGGATGAATAATTAATTCACCATGTTTCTCAAGCTCACTTCATTCTCTAACTGGTTGAATGACTGTTTGCATTCTGATACTTCAATTCCAAGATGATTAAGAACACTGATTGATGAGAATCATCAAGTTAATTGGCTTGCTTGGTTGTTCTCATGTCTTCCGAGTCTTTGTGCATGGGCCCCTAAAAGACTTTATTTTGTGGTCGGTATACAATACAAACAACCAATTTAAAGGAAAAACACCATTTTACTACATTGATAGTGTAGCTTGATTGGCTTGTTCTGGATATTTCTTGCTTGAAAAATCATAAAATGGTTTAATGGAGGTCTTGTTCTCAAAGTTTGTGTACTCTGTTATTACCTGTGATTACTACTACTTCTCCTAATCAATTTCTTTACACAAAACGTCTTCCTTCTTTTTTGGGGAATTTATGTACTTTATCCTGACTTGACCATATTATTTTCTTGCTTTTTTGACATCTTCTTTTTTCTTGTTCAGAGTGTTACTCCTGCGATACTTCTCAGGTTTTTGCGTGAGCATCGATCAGAATGGGTAGACAACAATATTGATGCTTACTCAGCTGCAGCTGTTAAAGTTGGTCCTTGCAGCCTACCTGGGGTCAGAGTCTCTAACTTTGGGGGTCAAGTGATACTTCCACTGGCACACACTGTTGAACATGAAGAGGCAAGTGTTTAGTTATTATTTAGTCAATGGCATGCCTATCTTTCTATCTTCTGTGGATACTGTTAGAGACCCACATTGATGGGTGAAATGGACAGGTGGTCTGTTTCTTTGGACTTGTACAATCCTCCTCTCATGAGCTAGATTTTGGGATTGAATTAGGCCAAAGTGTCATATGTTTACATGGTATGAAAGCCCATCCCTTCCCAGTTCTTGTTTCACCCGATGTTGGCCCCCTCTCTTATCTTGTCCATGCTCCAGTTTTGATTATTATTTAGTTTTAATTAATGTTTAAGTTGAAGCAGTTCTATATACATTTCCACTTATTTTATATTTTTCTTGAAATTTCTATCATTTCTATGTTATTTATCTTCTTATTGTTTATTTTTATCATATTATTTATAAAATATTAAAAATTAAAGATCCACCGGGCTTACGCCCATGGCCTTGTGCCTTCTAAAACACTAGCCCTCAGCTCATGAGCTAGTTTTTGGGTTGAGTTAGTTGTATGGTCCATTTCCTTGTAAAATACTAGTCGATCCCTGGTCAATTGTCATTAATGTTGATCACAAGCTCCTTTGTGCTCAGTAGTTGCTGGAGGTCATTAAGTTGGAAGGAGTTTGCCATTCCCCAGAAGACGTTATAATGCCAAGAGATATGTTTCTATTGCAAGTAAGTTCTATTCCTGAACATGTGAATATTGTTCCTATGTAGAGAAATTTTACTGGTTCTAACAATATTCATAGCTTTATATAAGCAGACTTAATACTAGATGGTGGGCTATGTAGTTGTTTGAGAAGCTTCAGTTAACTCTGGTTTTGGACGACCATCCAGATCCAGCAGAAATTTTGTTATATATAACACATGCTAATATGTTCTCCTGATCTACTAAAACTCTAAACAGGCTAATACCAAATAGTGAGCATCCAGATTCTTGGTTCCTCCGTTAAGATGCCACAAGATTTGACGGAGTCAAAATATTGGTCAAACCTGTATAGAAATTTGAGTACGCAGGGTTAAAATGGCTGTTTTGACTCGAAACGTAGTTTACAATGCTTTGCCTTCTGTGCTTTTGGCAGTTGTGCAGTGGAATGGATGAAAATGCTGTTGGTACCTGTGCTGAACTCGTTTTTGCTCCAATAGATGCCTCATTTGCCGATGATACACCACTCCTTCCTTCTGGGTTTCGCATTATTCCTTTAGACTCTGCTAAGGTATCATGTTCATCACTTGATCACTTCTTATTCAGCTGTTTCCTTGTTATCCACAGAGTAATTTGAGAATGTTCAATTTCATGCAGGAAGCCTCCAGTCCAAATCGCACCCTTGATCTTACTTCTGCTCTTGAAACTGGGCCAGTAGGAAGTAAGGTGGCTAATGATCTCAAGTCAACTGGTGGCACATCAAAATCTATTATGACAATTGCTTTCCAGTTTGCATTTGAAAGCCACATGCAAGAGAATGTTGCATCAATGGCTAGAAAATATGTACGAAGCTTCATTTCATCTGTTCAAAGGGTCGCATTAGCACTTTCTCCATCTAACTTCGGTTCCCTGGGAGGCCTTCGTCTGCCGCTGGGGACTCCTGAAGCACATACACTGGCTCGGTGGATCTGCCAAAGTTACAGGTGCGGCATATACTTGCATGTTGCTTAAGATATAAGTGTATGGTTTTCTTAGTTTTAAGAATGATTTGTTTTTCATTTTTCATTTCTGCATGTGCTGATGTGCAAATGATGTTTACTTGTTTCTGTTTAGAAGTTATCTTGAATAGGGGATTAGTATGAGGAGGATATTGTATCCCTGAACAAGTGTTTGATTCTGTTCTCCCCTTTGTACCAGGCGATTTCTGGGTGTGGAGCTTCCAAAATTGAGTAGTGAAGGAAGTGAGTCTCTCCTTGATAGCCTATGGCATCACTCAGATGCTATTATCTGCTGCTCTGCTAAGGTTTGTGTTATAAAGACAATCTGCAGTTTCTTATGCTCGTGTAAACAGATTCCTTAGCAAAACCTCAGAATTCAAGTACTTGTCCCGTTCCAATTGATGTGATGTACTTTGACTTGGAATGATCAGAGTTTTAAGAAAGCAAGACTTCATAAACTTGTGCTCTATAATAAGTCATAAATATTCTTGTAGCTATAAGTTATCCTAAGTTTAAAATTCACTTGTGTCTAAATATAGGAAGGTGTTATTCTTTTATAAGTTTCCGTTTGAAATGCTTTTCTTGAAGCCAACAGTCCATCACAAACCTCTCTACCTCCACTAGTTAGGAATAAGGTCTGCATACACCCTACCTTCTACAGGCCCCTGACCTAGGGGATTACACTAGGTATGTTGTAAGGGGCCGTTTGGTAGAGTGTATTAGGAACAATAATGCATGCATTAGCCTTTTGTATTACTAATACCTTGTTTGGTTCTCTTTTTCAACCTATATGTGTATAACTATGTATTACTTATACCATGAATTTCTAGGTATTAGCAATGCAATGATTTTAATGCATGCATTACCATGATTAAATACTTAATTGCCCCTCAACCTTTTTTTTTAGACCTTTTCACTATAATAGCGGAGGGTATCTTTGTAAACAATATTTTTTTTTTCAATTCATACTATTTTAATGCACCAAACCAAACAATGGATAAGAATAATCTATGTATAATTAATGCAAGCATAATTAATACATTCTATTTAGCATTATTTTTATACACTATCAAACGACAGCTAAATATATCGCATAAGTTGGGATATAGGGGGTATATCTAGTTCTGGAAAATATTCAACAAGACTATGCATTAGAAGCAAAACTTGTTGATTGCGACTTTGGCTTTTGACATCATTTGTGTTGTTTGTAGTTGTCTCATCTACAGTCAGTTTTTAAATCTTTTAGTATATGGGTGCTGAAGTTCAATATTTACGCAGGCTTTGCCAGTTTTCACATTTGCAAACCAGGGTGGTCTTGACATGCTTGAGACAACCTTGGTCGCGCTTCAAGATATATCTTTGGAGAAAATATTTGACGAACACGGAAGGAAAAATCTCTGCTCTGAGTTCCCACAGATAATGCAACAGGTTGGTAACTCCTTTGTGAGGAATCTATTACATACACTTGTCTAACTTAGCCAGTATAGTTGAAATGAAATTTCAATCGCGTCTGAAATGAAAATATAGTGATTCTCCATCTGTACTGAGATAGTGGGAGCATACAAGTATGTACCAAACATGTTAACTCTATTATTATGACAGGGTTTTGCATGTCTACAAGGCGGAATCTGTTTATCGAGCATGGGTAGGCCTGTTTCTTATGAGAAAGCTGTGGCTTGGAAGGTTCTGAATGAAGAAGATACTGCTCATTGTATTGGTTTTATGTTTGTGAATTGGTCGTTTGTTTAAATTTGTTATCAGTAAACTTAAGCTACATACATATCTACAAACCATTTTGAACTAGTTTGGCTTTTTGTGCTTTTGTTGCTACTCAATGTGACATGAAATCTTTTGGAATGTGATTACAAGATGATGTCTGGTGTCTGCATTTGATCCCACAAATTTGGATTTGTGCTAAGTAAGACTTCATTCGGTGGTAAACGCCTCTAACTAAGTTTTTTTTTCATACCCAAGGGTTTGAATTCGAGATTTTTGACTAAGGAAAGAGCGGTCCTAGCAGACTTTGGGTGGTCTAGGTGTTGATTAAACAGATGCTCTTATTTTAGGATGATTTTTTAAATTTTATCCTTTTAATTGACACTAATACTCTTATTTTAGGATGAATTTGAACTTTTATCATCTAAATTGGTAGTCTTTAATTTTGACTCTTCAATACATATAATCTTAATATTAAAATAAAAATGGCAAGGCGAGAGTTTATATTTCAGTATCAAAAAATTCATTTGCGGGTGAAGGTTAAGTTCAGTTTTCGATATCTCACTCCACTATGTTAGAAGACTGAGAAGCTCTAATTTATTATTAATCTCGTGGTTTAATATCTACTCGGTAAAGCCTAGACCTCACTCCTTTCCTTCTATTGGAACTGTCAACAGATCTAGATCAATTAGATGTCAGTCGATTCTGTCTGAAAGTGATTTCAGTTCAAATCCTTTTTGTAGAGTGAAATTCTCCAAGTTACGTCTTGTAAAATAAATGAAAAATACTCAAAAATATCTCTAAATTATTTGAAATGACTCATATTTATCCTTAAATTATATTTCAATTTAAAATTACCTTTTGCTATATTATTAGGTCAAAAGTACCCGTCTTATTAACTGAAGCTCTGTTAAATGTCATGTGATATTTCACATAAGGGCCACATCTTTTATTCATTTTCACATAAACTAATATTTCTAATCCCTGTAATACCCCCCTCATTTCTCCATTTCCGTTTAAAATCATTTCACACAAAAATATTAAGAGGCTGTTTGGCTCAGCTTAAAAGCTGGTCAAACTGACTTAAAAGCTGATTTTTGATTTATTTAGCTATTTGACAATATTCAAAATAACTTATTTTAAGTTAAAAAAAACTTATTTTGAGCCTAAAGTTAAAAACTGGGGTAGGAGCGTTTTTTTTTTAGCTTATAAGCTTTTTTAAGTTGACCACATTTTTATCTTTTTGCCCTTAATATTTTTATACAATCTCCAAATTATCCATATAACCCTAACATTTCTTTCTTCCATTTTTCCCTTTTTACGTTTGACATAACAACTTCAGCACTTTTATCCAAACGCATAACTGCTTATTTTAAAAATAAGTTTCAGCACTTTTAAAAATACTTTTTTAAAGCTACTTTTATTAAGCCTATCCAATAGACCCTAAGTATAAAGATTTACCACACCATTTTACCTAATTTATTTCTAAAGACTTCTTTCTAATTAGAAGCAATAAAAGAGATGTAGTTGTCAAGTTGTCTTTTTTCTTGGAGAAATGTCAATAATGAAACACTTTGGCAACGTATGTCATCCCTTTACACCACACTTGTCCAATCCTTGAAACTTGTCTTATAATGAATTTTGCATGAAAACTTATATCCAAATGTCTTAAGACACTTGTCTATATGATAAAGCTTCTTATTGGCCTATAAATATTATCTTCCCTTTAAGAAAAAGTTAGTAACAATACTGTTACTCATGTTCTGGTAGGAAATTGTGATGTGAAAAAGTTTCTTAGTACATTGCATTATTATTGTGATATTTACTTGTTTCCCAATACAAAATCTATGTCAGTCTCTAACTCTTTCGAAGATAGTATACAAGATTGAAATGCGAAAGACTTAATTATTTAAATTATGATCGGAGAGTACAATGCGCGTTACACTTTTTTTTATGAAGGTTTTTAGAGAGTGCATGCAATGCGTATTGAGAATATATATTAGAATTTCTACTTTTATATTGACATTGACATCATATTTTTGGTAAAATAAATGTGGATGTTCATGTGTGTGAATTGATATGGCCAATTTTTTCTTTTAAAGCCTCTTTTCTTAATGGCTAAGAAACAATGTTTTTGGCTTATAAAAGCCACTTTGTTCTTTTACAAATTGTTAATAAGACATATACAATTCTCTCCTTCACTCTTTCGGCGTACTTTAGCTTTCTTGTTTATCTAAAGTTTGTTTTCTTATTTATTTTATAATACGTTATTAGCATGAAGCTCTATCAATTTAAATAAATACTTTGAAAGCTTCAAAGTTACAAATTTTCTTTCTTAAATAGTGCAAATAGATGAATCTCGCGGACACCATGCAAGATAAAAATTAGATATCAAATTAAAATCGTGCCATGATAATGATATTTCTATATCAGTTTGGCCAAGATTTAAAAATGAAATATCTTTCTGTTAAAGATTATCTTGCATTGTGAAATATTTTAACATTGAGATATTTCATTTTTAAATCTTTATCAAAATGATGTTGGAGAAATATCATTATTTTGATTTGATAGTTGATTTTTATCTCGAATGATGTGTGTCGATCTATCACATTAATATAGAATTTTGCTATGTAATATTCAAGATAATTAGCTTTTGCCGATATATCTTAAGCAATAAATTCAAGTTTGAAAGATTCACTTTATTTATACTTCCAAAGCTTTTGAAGTATTTATTTGAACTGATAAAGTTTTGTGCTAATAATATATTATAAAATAAATAAAAATTAGTTTAAATAAACAAAGCAGGAAAAAATAAGAAAGCTCAAGTAGAGGAGAAAATTTTATATGTATTGTTGTTCTTTGTAAACAGTCAAAACATTGTTTCTTCGCCATTAATGAAGAGACTCATTGACTAAAAGAAGCTATGCCATAATAGTCCCATGGACATCATATTTATTTTACAAAAAAACATATTCCCTTTGGTTTATTTTTTTTTATTACGATTTGATTTGACATATTCATTAATATATAGAGAAAAATATGTGAAATGATAAACACTTAAGAGTATAATTTAATATAGCTACAATACTGATTATTTTTAATTCATAGCTACATTTTGTGAAATTTTACTATTTGATTTTTTGATTGTATAAATTTAAATTTGTATAATTTAATTTTTGATAGTATAAGATTTAGAATTTGTATATGTTTACTTTAGCTATTTGTAAATAAAATTATAAGAAAATAATTATTAAAATTATAGCTATAAAATTTTATTTTATCTATTATTTTTTTTAAAATGATATTTTCTCTATAATATATATGTTCCTTGTGGTAAAAGAGTTTGACGATAAAAATCACATATAATTATTTTTATTTTTTAAAGTTTTACAATTTGAAATTTCATCAATCTATAAATAAAATATCAATTATTTTCTTTTATTATTTGAACTATTTTAATTTCATCTACAAACAGGTGTGTTTTACTATGTTGTATCAACATGTGCTTGGTATTTTTTTTTAGATGATATTTTGTCATTTTATGATTGGTTGTTACTATTTTTGTGTTTGGTTTTATTTTTTATTTTTAGGTGATATTTTGTCATTTCATAATTAATATTTTATATTATTTTTTGTTTATTCCACATGCATAATATTAGGATATTTACAAAATTAATTATGCACAATACATGGTTCTATTCTTTCATATTATTTGTTAGTAATTTTTTTACACTCTTTAAAAGTACATAAATAAAATAATACTTCTACTAATTTACTTTGAATTTTTTTAATACTTTCTTCTTTTATTTTACTTTTCATACTTGAATTTGAACATTTATTAAAAAAATAAATTGATATGACTATTTAATTACCACAATATTTTTAATAATTAGTGTTTATTACTAAGTTTTGAAAAATTGAGGAGTAAGTAATTAATATTAAATATGAAACATGAAAAAAATATCTTTTCTTCGTATTAACTATCGAAATTTGAATCCTTCAAAAAGATCGAGCACTTATCAAATCGTTCGCCTGAACTCAAACTTATAAAATTATGACAAATTCTATTGTAACCAATTGAATTATAATTTAACGAATATATTTTAAATTAATTAAATTATAACTCAATAAATTTTATTTAAATTAAACTAATTATGATTATTTTTATTACTAAATCATTTTCAATAAGGCCCGTGCTTATGCGGGCTTGCCATCCTCTAGTCAATATATACACAATACTAGTTCAAATAAACAATAATTATTTCAATGTATAGACAATATATTTTTATCATTATCTCAATCATAATTGATAAAAATATGAACTTGGCCAAAAACAAATCCTAGTGCCAAAGCTGCCTCATTAACTTTGCCATTAAAGCTGGTGGATTGACTAAATATCTGCTAGTGCATTTTCTTCTTTTATAAAATATAATTAAATTGGGATAGAATGACATAATCTGAATTTTTGAAAAGGTGTTCGATCATGAAAATAAATTTTTATGGTCAACTTTTGAATAAAAAGATCTTTTTTTTAAATGATAAAATTTCGTGGCTAAATGAATAGCTTGTGATTGGAAAAATCTTGTTGGTCAAAAAATTTGATCAGAATAATATTTTACCTATATTATTTTATCTTTTTAAATATTTTTATCCATTTAACTTTAATACCTTTAAGTAAAAATGAAAAACAAAAACCAATTTATCTTAAAACAAAAAAAATTACCTGATCATTTAGCGTTATATAAAAACCTTTTGTATAAAGGCTCTCATCATTTTGTCTGGTAGACTATACTTCATACCATAGCCCATAAGAATTCACTAGTATAATTTTTTAAAATGATTTTTACAAAATTCCAAGTAATAAAGACAAAAAATGTTTAAAATCTTTGAATGAGTAAACGAAACGTATTAGTACTAGTAATAGTAGCATACTTTTCAATTTTCTGAAAAAGACATAAAATAACATGATGAAATTATTGAACTTGAAAAAATAACCATTGGTGTATTGACAAAGTTTTTGTCACTTGACTTCTTCAAAATATGTAATAATTACACCTTTAGTTTTTTAATTTTTAACATGTCAATCACTAAGATTGTTGGGGTCAATGATAAAAATTTGAGACCCCTTTTTTTCACATAATAATAAAAAAAGGTTATTAATAAATAAATG